AGCAGTAGCAGTAGCAGTAGCAGTAGCAAGTAGCAGTAACAGTAGTAGCAGTAGTAGTTGTTGTAGTTGTAGTTGTAGTTGTAGTTGTAGTTGTAGTTGTAGTTGTAGTTGTAGTTGTAGTTGTAGTTGCAGTTGTAGTGGTGGCGGCAGCAGCAGCAGCACCAGGAGGAGCAGAAGGAGGAGAAGGAGGAGGAGGGGGAGTAGTAACGGGGAGTAGCAGAAGGAGGAGTGGTGGTGCTGGTAGTCGTAGCAAGAACGGCCATGAAGTGCTACGGGTGTCAGGCTCTCTGCGCCGGGCGCCCGGGCGCGACCGAAAGGTGTAGACACGGTGATGCTGGGCCATTGTTGGGGTCCGGTTTTGGGTTGAGTTGCTTGAGTCAAGGTTGCCGTTGGCTTTGGCGGCTTCAAATTTGGATTTAGGGAGTTTGAAGGTTTGAGAACAAGAATCGGGCAGGTTGGACTTCGGTGTGTAGGGTGAAAGCTTGTGTCGCTCTAGCGCTGGCTAGGTTGGAACCTAGCCGTAAACGCTAGTCTAGCTCTTGTGTTTGGAGCCGCAGTCAGATCCCTATAAAGTTAAAGTGAATGAGAAACCTTTACAACAACTATGAATCCCGTCGAAGCCCTTATTCTACAACCCATATATAGCCCGATAAAGCCAATATGACACCTTACAGCGCCCGCTGTAACCCGATGACACCCTGATAAAGTCCTATAGCTATTAAGTCCTCATAACCCGTGTGCTTGCAAGCCCTAGAACCCTAAACCCTAAACCCTAAACCCTAAACCCCTGAACCCTAGACCCACCTGTCCCGATAAAACTCATCCCAGGAGCCGACTCGGGCTAGACTTGCGAAAGCCCGGCGAAGCGGAGCGGCGCGAGCGACGGGAGCATCCCGGCGGTGTGGTTTAGGGTTTGGGGGTTTAGGGCTTAGGGTGTTGAAGGTTTCGATTTTAGGGTTTTGGGGGTGTTGGGATTTGCATGGGGGGTTTCAAGTCTTCTACCCTAAACCCTAAACCCTAAACCCTAAACCCTAAACCCTAAACCCTAAACCCTGGGGCCATTTGTTGCTTTTGTGGTTCAAGGTTTCGAGAGGCTATCGTTGAGGGAGGTCGGGCCTTGGGGCTGGCAGCTTCGAGGCTTGAGGTCTTCGGAGTAAGGGCTATCAGGTTTAACCAGGGCTTTCGGGTTTAGGGTTTAGGGTTTAGGGTTTAGGGTTTAGGGTTTAGGGTTTGGGGAGCGCTTTGCGGCTCAGAGTTCGGGGTTTCAAGGTTTTTGGTTTCTGAGGGCTTTGCAGGTTTTAGGGTTCATGGTCTAAGCGTTCTTCGAGTGGAAACAAACCCCCTGCAATGCACGATTCTTAACCCACCATATCCTAAACCCTACAAGCCCCAGAAACGCGCGAAATCCTAACGCCCAAAACCCGAAACCCGAAAACTCTAGAAGCCTTAGAGACGCCCCTAAACCCTAAACCCTCAACCCAAAACCCTAAACCCTAAAACCCTAGAAGCCTTAGAGAGGGCCCCAAACACCCGGCAGCGCCGGCGAAGGAAGCGTCACGAGCGCCACGACAGCGTCGACTCTACGAGCACTGAGGCCTGGGAATGGTATTTTCATAATATTAACAATCACAATAATATTAATATTAATAATAATAGTAATAATTAATTCTAATAATTTTTCCTATGATTATAACTAAAACTCGTAATCATAACAATTATTATTTGTAGTATTGTTATCATCGTTATTCTTATTACTATTATTCTTCTTATTTTTGTTATTGCTGTAGGTATTGTACCACTATTGTTCTACTAGTGTTGCTCTTGCTACTGTCATTCTTGTTAATCAGGATTAATTCAGGATTGGAGTTTGTATGCGGGTTACAGGGAACCTTTGGGGCTCTAGGGGTTTTATAGGGGGTTCAGGGTTTAGGGTTTAGGGTTTGTGCGTGAGGGTCTAGATTTAGGGTTTGGGGCTCACTTGAAGGATCAGGTACTTGGGTTTATCTTGCTTACAAGTCGACCTGTAACCGAGTTACTTATCAAGTCCCCTGACTGTCTGGGTTGTGACCTAGGGTTTAGGGTGTTGGGGCTTCTCGCATTTCTTGTCCATTAAAAGGACTTAGGAACTTGTGAATTTAGGCTTGGGGTCTTTGCTCAGAGTTTGGAAACGTCTGGTCTTGGAAGAACAGGTCAGCAGCGTATGTCCTTGCTTCGCACTCTAAGCCGGGAACCCCGAAGCCTGCAGTAGGGTTTAGGGTTTAGGGTTTCTTTTTCTTCCGGGGGGGGGGGTTTAGGGTTTACGGCGTCGACTTGATCTAGCTCGTGCGCAGGAGCATTACACTCTCATATACTCTAAGATAGACACAAGGAGATAAGGCAGCTGTAATTGTAAGAATGCCCCCCCGCCTTTTTAACACCCTATAGAAGCTCTACAGAGCCCCCCTTTACATACAATCCCGATTTTTCCCTAGCCCTGGCCTAAACCCTAAACCCTAAACCCTAAACCCTAACCCTAAACCCTAAACCCTAAACCTCAAGCCCTAAACCCTCTAAGCGCTCCACAATCTCCTAGCCGAAGCCACTGCTGGGAGGTCCCATCCGAAGCTGCACCCCTCGAGGACGGGGCTGTCCCAAACTAGAACCAAGCAGGGTTTTCGGGCTTTTCGGGTTGCGGGTTTGTCGGGTTTAGGGGTTGAGGGTTTAGAGTTTTAGGGTTTTGGATTTACTGTAGGGTTTAGGCACGAGGGTTTCAGGGTGTAGGGTTCAGGGCCTCAGGGTTTTGGGTCTGAGTCTAAGTCTAGGTTTTAGGGTCCTGGAGTTTAAGATTTCACAGCTCCGGCCCCAGGTGGCCCAGGTGGACACCCGTGTTGGCCAGTTCACGCCAGTTGCCGAGTGGAACTTTCGCGAGGCTCATCGCGCCCAGCGAGGCTTCCGGGAGGGGAAGGAGGTGTTCTCGCAAATAGCTTTACTGTAGGCGCCTAAGTATTTACCTACATTATTTTGGTGGTTCTTAATAACAATAATAGTATAATGGGCCCCACAACCCTATTCAACTTATTAAGGCCCCTATATTAGCTGGTTAGCAGCATCGCCTTCATTCGTTTCGTGTCAATCAGCTAACAGACGTCGGGCTTCAGGATTGGTGCAGAAATTCGCGCACAGAACAGGGTCGTAGGACAGAGGAGCTTTGTGGGGGCTGGCGTCTACTTCTTTCAGCACTCCGAGGTGCGCACAGATGCCCCTGCCGTGAGCGTCTAGTAGTCCGGTTCTTCAACTGAATATATTCCCCGATACTGGAGATTGCGTCTGGGCTGCTGTCTGGAAGTCAACCGCAG